TGAATTGTTACAATTTAAAATATTGTAGTAAATATTTGTATTATTCGCGTTGTTTATTTAATTTAATATAGTTTTATTATCTTTGTTTAATTCTATTGTTAGTTCTATTCAGTTAATTAGTTAGTTATATTTTAAATTTTATTATTATGGACATTCAAAGTTTTCCATTTGTTCCATCAGCTAATGCGTTGGTAAGTTTTTCTTAATAAATATGATAAAATGTTTTTTAAAAGTTAATATTTTTAGATTAGTTGTTTCTAATTTAATATAAATGGTTTTTATAAAGTACTTACATGGAGGATTTTGTTGTTTGTTTGGGTTTATATGACTGCAGGCAAAAATTAGTATTGAACCACGAATTTGCCTAGTCAAATTACTAATATTTGCTTTTAGCATATGGAAGTACACTTATTTTGTAAGATAATAAAACAACAGTTTATGTTAATGCTATCCAATGAACTGTTAATCTTTAATCATTGATTCCATCCTAGTCACAACATAAGGAACTTCCTGTGTCTTGTTTAACCTCACTTTGACTTTTTAATTTTGTAGAATTTATTCCCACTGTTTTTATTTTGTACAATAAATAATTTTATTATTTGTTATCAATACATTATACGGTGTAAATAAATAAATATTGATTGTCGGCAAAGTTCTATTTTATTTACATTAATATTGACTAAGAGCACGTATGCTTGGTTGTAGAGTAATTTCCAGCCACTTCGAGTCTGTCAAAAAGTAACTAACTTCGCAAAAAAATAATTACTAAAATCACTAGACAGTTCGGACTGGGAATAGCGAACCGGGTATACGGAACTTTCGTAATACTGCTCCCTTCCTTATCGTTATTCGCCTCGAATAATTGGTCTATCAGGGATCTTTTCAAGACAACAGGCTGGATTTGTTCCATAGTATGGCGCTCATCTTTCTATATACACTAACTTGGGTTTACTTCTAGATAAACATTGATTGCGGTGTATTAGATTGTGTATTTTTCTGCAGGATGGTGTACGGATCTTCTCGGAAGTTTCGTACAAAGTATTTTCTTATGTGTGGGATTGTATAACCATACCAAATCACCTCTTTCAAATGTTATACATGTAGCATGCATGTGGAATTTGAATTTGGCTTTATCACTTTGAACTTCAATGTTGTACGAGCAAACTCGTAGACATTTTCAATTTTTGTTTCAAGTTTCGATGTATGTCAGAGATGAACATTCTTCATCGCTTTCAAAAATAAGATCTTAAGGAAGCTTAATTTTTTTCGATTATTATTGGTGATGAAAGTATCCTAATATTTTTGATTATTAGCAACAAACATTTAAAGATATTGAAAAACAGTTATATTATGTCTTTCGACCATTCCGTTTGATTATGGATAGAGAGGCGTAGTGCAAGGTTTCTTAATACCCAAGATTTTTATTAATTCTTACCATATTTCTAATTTAAAATGTCGTCCTTGACTAGAGTGTAACTCTAAAGAAACTCCATATCTTGATACGACGTGTGTTATAAATACCTTAACTACTGTAGTCGCTCCTTGATTAGAAAAATAATCCATTACGACCAATAAGTACTTGATATCTGTCTCTGTCATCGACCAAGAATATCCACCGCAATTCGTCCAAAAGATATTGAGCCGTTTTACTACGTCTTCTTCTAGGGCCATTTTTACTGTTACATAAATCATATTTATTACGCCAATCTTCTACATCTCGGATACAATTAATGTAGCAAAATTTGTCTCGAACTTTGGCCTGTGTGTTTTTTGACACAAAAATGTCCTCCAGAAAGGAACCTATGAAGTTCTTGTAACACAATATTATTGTGTGATTTTGGCAGTACTACTTGTTGAACTTTACGTACTCTATCGGTACTTTTCCACTTCCAATTTAATACACCACTGGAAAGATACAGAGATTTCCATTGGAAAGGTATAGATATTCACTGTATTTGGTTATTTCCTCCCAAATATGTCTTACTTCATTTTTGAGCTATTCCCGTGTAACTATTAAGTCATTATCTTACTTTTGACTGTTTCTAAGATTTTTTAGGAAAACCTGTTCATTATCTTCTTCCTGTACAATTGTGGTTCTGTAGGGACTTACTTCTTCGGTTACATTCTCTTTTTCTTTAAGCTACCATTGACTTTGAACCTGTTCTAGCAACTTTTCTATTTTATTTTTAGTAATCCGTAGTTGATTTCTCAGATGTGGAACTTCAGATTCCAGCATATCTTTTTTACTTCTGTGGTCACTTGTGGGAAATCCATTTCTTGAACATATAAACTACTAATATTTTTAGTGGGACTATGTGATTGGCTTCTAAATATCGATCTGAGCCACCTTCTGATCTCATCATTTGATTTTTCTGTACTTGCATGGGATTGGCTTCTACAATTATTTTAAGTATTGTTATATTTTTATTATGTTTCTAATTTATTGTCTTTAATCTAATTAATTGTCTGTATTCTAATTTATTAAAACTCACGATAATTTATTATCGATTTATTAAATAAAAACTGTACAATTATTTTATTACGTTTCGTACATCTAAACCGCGTTTCGCGAGCTTCTAATTTATCTTCTTACTAACTAACTGTCCGCTCAATAACATGTATTTATATATAAAATGCCGTTATCTTGAAAAGTCTGGAAATGCACCGATGACTCATGCAGCAAGTCTCGAAAAGTCAATCGCATTCTGGTAAATTCGGAGAGTTACCGCCGACGGCATTTAGTTACCTGGTTTCTTTTAATCGAGGGTAGACCCCATTGACCTGAATCGCCTTGAAGGTTCAATTTGTTGTTTTCATAGCTTGCGTCTCAGGTAGATTTGACCTAGAAATTACGAGAATGAATAAACATATTTACGGTTTTTAATATGACTCATATAATCTTTTACGTAACAGTATGCTCTATTCTTCTCCAATTAAAACATCTTCTGTATTATAATCAATATCTGGGGTACAATTGGTTGTCGCTTATCTGCGGTTGTGACTTTTTCAGTTGCTCGAAGCCTTATTTCTTTTAATTTTGGGCTAGATCTAGAAATGCTTTTTATAGCTTCATACACCTGTGCGGAGATTAGTGCTTCATCTAGCGATTTGTGGAGTTGTAATCGAAGAGCTTGTTGCATTTCAACAGCCTGTAGTCCATATATAAATAATTGTACACCAGTTTGTTCCACAAAATCTTTAGGTGTCTGTAGGTACGCCAAATGCAATATTCTTTTAATATTAGCTTCATATTCTTGCAAGCTTTTAATATCGAACTTTCAGCTGACTTTGGAAAACATGCTTTACATGTGTTAGATGCAGCTGATTATATCTTGTTTCTAAAGCTTGAACGAGAGAGGTATAACTGAGTGTATCCTGTGAAAGCAAATGCCAGATGCATTTGCTTTCACCATTTGAAAGCTACCATTTCTTTGTTAGTTCAGCCATTTGCCCCAACTGCAGCTTCAAATGAAAAACGATAAGTTCCTCATGTTATTAACTGTACGTCATGAATGTACATAAACAAAAATGAGGAGAATTAGATTTTAGACATTTTTTTTTGAAATCAATATTTAAGATCCTAAGCCTAACGAACCCTAGACAGTGCAACCAGCTGCAAGCCATAAACAGAAACGAACCCACTACCTTAAATATTGATTTTAGCAAAGAAATCAAAGAAAGCAAAATTGTATAAAATATAATTACCTTAAGTTTTGCTTGTGTACATTCAGGTCGTAAACTTAATAATAAACGAGATAATTTGTTTTGTTTGTTTATAATTCGATAAATGAAAAATATTGTGAAAAAGAAATTGTAAGAAATCATATATACAACAATTTCAGTCCCTACCATTTTTGTCGAAAAGGTAAAAATGGCGTAGATATTAATATTGACATAGAACAGAAATTCAGTCGTGATTTTAAATTTACTTAGTATTTGATTTAGTATTAACCCCCTAAAGTTTATAATAATAAAATTTGCGGCAGATGTAAATCTAAGGTGAAATTCTATCTCAACTGAAATGTGAAACAATATTAGATAAAAAAGTTTGGTTATTAATTTTTCTGTTTAACGTAACTACTTTTTTTTTTTTAGTATAATTAAAATTGTTTTGTTGTTATTTTTAATCGCTTTGATGTTGTAATAATTTATTTTCTAAATTTGTTTTTATATCATTTTTTTGTTCTACTATTTTATTTTTTTTATCTAATATTAAATATTTTTCTTGTTCTAGAGTATCTATCTAGAAGTAATTTGACTTGGCTCTAACTGAAACGTTTCGTGAATTTAAGACAAACTATTTATTATTTCTACCTCTACTTTTCTACGCCTCTCCTTTTCTTTTTCTTCTTGTATACGTTTCTCTTTTTCCATTACCTTTTCTTGACTACGTTTTTTTTCTCAACTTCTTTTATTTTTAAAAACCATGAGGGGGTCCAAACCTATCCATTATTTAATAAAATTCAGATCTTGTGTTTACCATTAACAAATACTTAATATGTATTTAATCTCCCTTTGTCACCAATATTACTCTTTTTAAAAATAAATTTCTTTAAATACCAGCTTGTTTACAATACTTTAACAAACTGACTATAAACTCAATACAACCGTTCTAAACTGCCAACAACATATGTTTTTATAGATTTTCTAATTAGAAACTTTAGGATATTTCGATGTTGAATGTTCTAGATTTTTAATCTTCTTCTTCTTCTTCTAATGCTGATTTTACTAATGAAGGTTGGCTATAACCATTACAAAATTCGTCTCTATCTTCTGCTTTTCTTAAACGCGTCTGTTTGTTTAACCCGGTCCAGTCACGCATGTTTTTTAGCCAGGATATTTGTGGTCTACCACAATTTTTAATACTATTTCCTTTTCGTTAAGGGACTTCTTCCATTTGGGATAAATATAACGCAACTTTTGTAACAGTATTTAAAACCCCAAAATTCTTTTGGATCAGGTTTTTAAAAGTCAGAGCTGAAAGTGGTTTAATTGATTATTTAAGTGAATTGTTTTTAGGGAGCAATTTTCTATAATGTTAAAACTTTAATTTAATAATCTATTTAATTTTGATAGACACTTATCTTTTTTACTTTGTTTTAGAATGGAGTTACATCACAGTCAAAACCAAACAAACCAGTATGACGTAGAGAGCAACAATGCACCTTGGTATGGCTCAAAAACGAGTTGTGCGAGGTAAGCAAAATAAATGTGTAAACAATTTTGATAAAATTAAAGACAGATATCGATTATTAATTTAATCTTGCACAAGTACTTTCGCTTTTCTAAAGCATCATCAGAGGCATTTAGTCAGTTTTGGGCTATCCAACAAGCGCAGAATGTAATAAACATAACATTAAACATAAAATTGTACAAACACTACACCAAACAAGGACAAACAGTTTAAAATTATTTAAAATTAGTTGAAGCTACATTCTTGTCGGCAACAGGCGAGAGAATATTCCCTCTCTCGCTTCTCAAGTAAAAGTATTTTTGACTTAAGAAATTCAAGCTTTTATTTTTTCCTTTTTGAATTGAATTTACTCTTCATCTAACGGAAGCATTTGTAATGAATTTACTGTTCCATAATTTTTTTTATTTATCATTATAGGCCACGAAAAATTTTCACCATATTTTAATTCTAATTAACAGAATGCTTTATTGAAATGGTTTGTTTTGTAAGCTTATATCTGAGTCTGTCATAAGTATTATATCATGTACGTATACCATGGTTGATATTTTGATACAATTAACTTTCATTTAAGCATTAACTTTTTCTAGTGTTCTTTTAAATAGTAATTATTTCAAGTGCCGGTTAAATAGTATATATGAGACAGTATAGTTCGTAAACTTGTCTTATTCCTCTACGTATGTTAAAGCTGATGAAGATTTAGTTTAGAAAAGAGTAATAAACTACTCTTTTCAAAATTTTAGTTGTTTACTTTAATATTAACGAGGGCTTCCTATAATGTCATGGTATGTATGGTCAAAAACTTCTCAGAAATCCAAAATTCACAGAGATATATATTTCTGATGGTCTTTCTGATGATACTTTTGATATAACACTTGCGGTGAAAAGAGGGCTTGAACTTCCTGGTCCCTATAGTGTTTCGATATCGAAAACTAGAGTAAAAGTTGTAGTCATCGTTATCTGTTTTGCATAATTACAAATAATGCGTAATTTCTACATTAGCAGTAAATAGTTTTAAAATAATGAAAATTAGTCAAAGTTAATTAAATTATAGTATTGCCGTTTACCAATTTATATTGTGAATTTAATATTCTAAAAAGCTCCACAATTTTATTATATTTTAAGTCACATGCACAATTTTAGGTGTATAGTAGGCTTTATACTTTTGACGATACTTATTTATCGGTCCCTTTCTATTAAAGATCAAATACAGTCAGTTAATACTAAATACTTTAATTTTAAGTATATTATAATATACAATACAATACAATTTTAAGTATATAATATAATACAATATACATTCATTTTATTTGTAGTACATTATATAAAAAATTTTACCAAAAAAATGGTTCACAATAAATATATTATTTTGAAATTATTTCCTTGTAGCATTTCAGTCACAATCACGTTCTTTTTCAGCTCATTCTTGAATTGAATCAAATTTTCCGGTTTTTTATTCATATAGGCTCCGTTCGTGCTTGCGTTATTGATATATCTCTTTCAGGATATCCCACACTCTGAGATGTTTTATTGTTGATTGCTCTCAATTCTCTTCAATCTACCTTTTTTTATTCTGTTACTTAGGTCATTGTACTCTTGCTTTATTTTCTTTTTAATATCAAGTTTAAAGTATTTTTTTATTTATTTATGCCTCAACCTCATAGGGTTATTGGCGTTGTACAATTTAAAGTTTTACAATTTATTTAGTACATTTTTGGAATATAAGTATGATGTCAAATTTTTTGTATCAGTTTCGTTTCTTAACATTGCCGTCTTGTTATTTATATTAAAGGCTCTCTGTGCAATATAAAGGATACTAAAGTAAAATATGGCGAGCACTAAGTACAATATCACATACGTAGCACTGTGGTTTTAATTCACTCTCCAGCAGATATTGGTGGGTGATGGCGGTGTGGCCTATTCTCAGACGAGATAGGACGATTTGATGTATACGCTTATTTGTAGTTGATTTCCGAGGTAATATAGAATGTTTTACTTCTCGTAGTTTGGATGTTGACTGATTTTACTTGGTCTGCCAATCATTGATTATTAAGTTCTTGATTATAGGATTTATATCTAGATGTGGAATGCTTCTGATTTCTACAGCTTCCAGACTCGAGATTGCTAGCTTTGCCAATTAATATACTTCTTCATTACCAGCAATTCCAATATGGGAAGGACTCCATACAAAGTCGATATCTAAGTTCATAGTTTGCAGTTGGCTTACTGCTGATTTAATAAGTAGTAGTTTTGGATATCTAGGATATAAGTTATTGAGGCAATTACAGAACTTAGGGAATCCGTAATAATGACAGGGTTCTTAATACTATTTTCTACCACAAAATTGATTGCATTGAGAAAAGCGGCTAACTCGGCTGTATAAATGGATGTTAATTTAGGGAGTTTCATTAATATTTTTGTTTTATTGGACATTAATGCTGCTCCCACTCCATCTATAGTTTTAGAGGCCTCGGTATATATCAGATTGTGGATACTGTATGTCTTGAGTTCTTGGAGGACATATTGATATAATGCTTTGGGACGGTTATCTGCTTTTTTATAAATGGAGAGTTTGGTATTGATAGATGAAATGAAAACAGTCCAAGGGAAAACAGTGTTAATATCTGGTATACAATAGGTATCTGGAAGTTTGAGTTTAAGTCCATTGAGGTATCTATTTACCCTTTCATAAAAAAGAAGGTAAAGCCTAGCATGTGTTTTAAAAATATTCCTAAAGCGGTCTGAATTTACATAATGGTTAATAGGATTCATAGGATTTGCCTGTATTGATGCCGCATATTTTAGTGAAAGTTGTTTTCTTCGGAATTCCAGGGGGACTTGAGTGTATGTTCTTCAGCAAAAAAACTTTTCACTGTGCAAACGAAAATGATGTATCTTATTTATTTAGTTAAAAATTAATTATATTCAAGCATCTATATTATTTTAAGGAAACAATAAATAATCCGTATCCATACATCACATCAATTACACCACCTCCGTCAAACAGGCCACCAAATTTTCATAATTCGCCTGCGATTACGATTGATAAACACCTGGAGCTCTGATATTATTTTCTATTTACTTTATAGGTCTTATTAGTATACAATAGAACAGACTTAAACTTGATATATTAAGAGATATGTTTCTTTCTCCAGATATTTCCTATATTCAATATTATCCACTTGGATGTAACATTATTAATCCTGCAGCTTTCCCGCTACGTACTAATTCCGCTTTAATTCATTTACGTTTCGTGAGCAAAAGGATATGTAAATTGACAGATTAAAATCATTTACCATATTCAGTTTTCCGTTCAAAAGTTTTGCTAGTCTCTACTCTATCAGAGTTTTGATAAACTCAGTTTGACCGTAGTATAAAAATAACACTTTTCAAATCTCATCTATATTGTTTTATAGTATTATACAAAATCTAATTTAGGATTTGGTTTTCTTTAGTAATATGGTTTGTTTAAATGGTGCAAGTTTTTAGCCCATAGCTGTCACCAGCGGATAAACATGTAGCCATATTTATATAACAGGGCCACATTCTCTAGATAACTAATCTGCTATACGACTTAAGAATATAATCCATCTAATATTAATCTGAATTTTATAGTAATAGTGACATACCTCACAAACGGTTAATATTTTTAAGTAAACCAAATAAGTATACATATATATGTTAGAAAAATAATTAGAATTTTTTTGTTAGACATTATGTTGTATATCAATGACTGACAAAAAGCTATCGTTGATTTCTTCTGCTCAATATGGTGTGTATCGCTGTCTACCAATTTATCCATATCTAATAAAATTATGTAATAAAGGAACTATAGGTACTCCAAGCATCTGTTAAATATATAGAAAAATTATGGATTTACTAACAAAAATATATTTCAATTTTACAAATTTTAAACCTTTTAAGTCGGAAACCAGATATCTTAGGCTTAGTATTGTTAATAGAGCAGAGAAATTAACAAATAAGAAGCATTTTTCATGATACCCTTTGATACAGATATCTAACAATTGCTGTTAATAAATTTGGAGATAACAATATGTATATAAAAATGCAAGATCTGTATTTGATTTTAAATACGAAAGGTAAAGAACGGTAAATTAGATGGAAAAGTGACACAATTTTACCTAAAAAGCATAGAAAATCATTTAAATGATAGTTTGTAAAGTTAATATGTTAATTTGATGCTTAATTATTGCATAAATACATAAATAAATAATATTGTATAAATTTAGCTTTTAAATTAACTTTAAGAATTTTCACATACCAGTTATTGCAAAATTAAAATTGTTTATCTCAGAAAGCGTTTATCTACAACGTTATTATGCATTAAATATTAGGTCTACATGGGTTCTCAAAACACCAAAATAAAGAGAAAGGCTTCTATTATATTAACCAATTTACTGATTAATTAAAAAATGTATGTTAAATATTGCAGCGCACACTTTGAGGGGATTAGAAAGTGACTCTGACCACTTTCTGATCAGAACAAAAATGAGAAGAAGGCTAAAGACGAGACACCCAAAGCAACGCGAACAGGGAAACAGATGGGACATTTCAAGGCTCGATTTACCTGATAATGAACGCCAATATCAGGCACTGATGCAAAACAAATTGTAGACACTGGAAGAGGAAGAAACGTCAACGCCAGAATTGACTATAGACCAGAAATGGCAAAATATAACGAACGCCCTAGAAAGAGCCGTAGCAAAAACTAACACGTCCTACAGTTACTAACACGTCCTACAGATGAGAACAGGGAAGACTTCAACAGAGTAAAGACTCAAACGAAAAGACTTTTGAAAAGAAAAAAGAAACAGTACCTAGAAGCGCGACTACAGTAACTGGAGGAGGAACATAGAACCGGTCAGTCTAGATAGGTTTATAAGGACCTAAAACCAATGAAGAGCAACAAGACCAACAGCCCAAGATTGATAAAAGACGATGCAGGACAATTGCTCACAGACGACGAGGAGATAAGCCGCCAATA